TAGAATATGTGAGTTCCACATTTTAGTCCCAAAGGGGATGTGCTAACAAGCTTTTTTTCGATGTTTGTCTATCGGTCAACTATTCAGTTTATGGTGAATTCGTCTATTGTCTGATGAAGTAGGGTGCACAATTTTTGGTGTTCTGTGGAGCACAAAAAGATTGCATAAAAACTGCATAGAAAATCAATCTGATTTTTCTAACATTAAAAATACTTGAACTATATTCAGCTAAAAGCAACACTCTCGACGTATTTGCGAGACTAGCGCTATCTATGATACATTTGGATTAATATATTGAGAATAGTGCTTCAACTGACGATGGTTCAAACATTTTTCAAGTTAGAAAAATCAGTTTGACTCTCTATGAGACTTTTATTTAATCACATTGACTCTCACGAAACTCGAAAATTCCAAGCTTTGTTTTTCGAGAACACTGACCAAATCCAATAAAGAGAACGATGAGATGATTTTAATCGATTGCCACTCTCCTATTCACAGTCGCTTTTGCATTCAGACACTCACTACTCTGTACCTTCACAACAATAAAATCGGAGAGAGTGGTGCACAGCATATCGCGGAAGCACTTAAAAACAACAAAGTGAATTTTATTTATTGTCTGCATATTTTTCTCTCATGTTTGCTTTTCCTTTTCTTTTATAGACACTGCAGACATTATACCTTCCGGCGAGCATCCCCGCTAATGTACAAGTTAACTTAAAACAACGAGACAGTAGAATTAATTTTAGTTACTGATCTATTATTTTTTTTGTTTCGATGAGATAAAATAAAATTGGATTGACTGATATAGCGTGTGAGTGGGTACGACTTGGATGTCTGTGGGTGTACGTACATGTATTTGTGAAGCTATATGATGAAGAAGAATGAACATGATAAAGAAAAAAAATGATGTTTGGAAAGATTGAAAGACCCTTATTATCTCTTTTGCAAAAGCAATTCTTAAAAAGGTTTACTGAGAATGTGAAATGTTTTTCAACAAAGCTTTATATATTATTCAGTTAAATCATTATTTCTAATAATTCAATTTTACTTTTTTTTGTGAAATACGATCTGAAAGGAGTGTTGAAGTATATAGGGGTAGAAATTTGCACCCACCCTCCACAGATCGTGACAGAGAAACTCTATATCCATCACAGACCGTGACAGAGAGAATCTCAATACCCATCACAGACTGTGTTATATCCAATAAAATCAACTTAAATATCTTAAAATAAAAAAGAATTGAACACTGTAGACAATTAATACTTATAGTTCTTTGCTCAATATATTTTTTTCATTTCAATAAAAAATATACGATTTACCTGAATATACCAATCAAAATACAAAAATTTAACTTATATTTTCTATATAAGATTCAATCCTCATTTTTTTTTATACCTAATAAATGTACCTCAGGCTATATAACAACTATTTGAATACCAATGTTGCCACTTGGTGATATACAAACTACTTCTTTATTGTATTGAATAAACACAAAGCTAAAACAATTAACTGAAAATCTCTGCAAAAATAAATCAATTTCAAACTATCTTCTTGAGATAAAAAAAACAGCTTTATCGTGTTTCACATTTTTTATTTAATAAACACAAAACATATTTAATAATAATTAACATTGAACATGGAATAATTATAGCCATTCAATATATAGATTCTCAGCTACACGTTTAATTTTATAATTCCATAGAAGTTTTTCAAGATCAATCATTCTATTTAGTTTTTGAATCATTTCATCATCTGCTGTTGGAACTCGAAAACATAATAAACGAAGATATTCATTACAATCATGCTTGATTTTTTTCAAAATACATTGTAATAAAAATTTGAAATCCATTTGTTTTGTATAATCCACTTTGAAATATTTCATAAAAGGACATAAATTTAAAAGAATAGAAAATTCTTCAATTTCATTCATTGTTAGAAGATATACTTTTCTAACTTTACTTGTATAATTCATTGAAAGTTGAATAAAATTTAACATTATTGGTTTATGTAATGATAAAGAATGAATTTTTAATGTAGTAAGTTCTGGTAATAAACGTACAATTTCAATTAATACATCAACATAGACATTTTCTACTGGAATATCCAAACTGTAAATTTGTGCTACAGTTAAAATACGTGTCATACCCATCTGTAAGTCTTCATCAAAATCAATATCATTAATATACTCAATTGTTAATCGAGTAGATTTAGCATATTCAACAGAAGAATTTAAAATATTATCTTGTGTGTATTCATACCATCTTTTTCTAACAAAAAAAAAATCACAATATATAATCATCATTTTATTGAAAAAAACTGATGCTCTCAATATACCTGTACGGACGAACTATGTAATCAATAGATTCATTATCAATTTTGATTTCAAATGTCCATTGTCGTTCAATCCAAAAAGATGTAATGAATTGATCGGATACTCCAGGATATTTATATTCTTCAGCAAAAGATTCAATATATCGAAAATAAAATTCTTCCAATTGAGGTAATGACTTGAAAATTAGTTGTTCCCATTGATGAGCATTCAGAAAATCGATATGTTCAGATTGAATAGTAACACGTAAAATTTTTAATTTCGCATGTATTTTTCTGATGAATAGTTCGAATTCATCAAATTTTGCATCATCCATAGTTATTGAAATATCTACTAAATTTGATAATGTTATTGGTAATATAGTTTGAATATTTGTATCAATATCAAGATTATTACCAATTTTTAGACAACGAATTTGAGGTATATACGAAAGAATTATAAAAAGTTCATTGACACTACAATATTGATAAGTAACAAGATGTTCAATAGTACTCAATTGTTGATTGATAGCCATTGGAAGTGATATCGTGACGTAACGATCCAAGAAGAATATGAATGATTTTAAAACAGGTAATGCGAATATTAATCTGTAAATATCATTTAAATATTCTAATATATTCAGTGGACGAATAGTTAAAGATAAAAGTCGAGGTAGATCAGCTAAATTAATGAGAAGTGAAATAAGTATATCTGATTGATTTGATCCAATATAAATTGATTCAAGACGACTTAGTGACAAATCGAAAGTAAACCACGATAAATGATTATTTTTTTCAAATCCTAATTCGAATTCAATTGAAAATATTTTATGTTTATTACGAAGGAGATATTGTTGATAGTTGTTCATGGACGATTCATTATATGTTGAATTATCAAGTTTAATTTTAAGTATAAGAGATGGAGAATCGAGAAGTTGTTGAAAATGATGATTAAGATTGGAAAATGTGTTATATATTTCATAACCATCAAGATAATCAAATATTTCATAGAAAATTTCATTAGATAAATTTTCAATAAAAGTTATTGTTCGAGCAAAGTTATCTATTTATGTGAAAATACAAAAAATTAACATATATTTACTATTAGAACAAGTTACTTTGTAATTTTTTTGTTACTTCATTTGATAATTGATTAAATGTAAATTTTCGCTTAACTTGATCCATATGTCTCTCTTGAAAAACGTTAAAATTCAATGAATAATTTCTTTCTAAACGCAAAAAAAAAAGAATACCATCAATCAACTATAGATTACTTCTCTGCAGGTGTTTGATATGTCTACAGAGTATGTGTGTGTGTAAACCAAGATTCTTAAAATCTATATTGACTTATTAAACGATAACACGTAAGATAATTATGCAAGTACCTACATGGAATTTAGAATTTTGAGAAAAGATTTATGTATTATTCAATCTAAAAAAGAAAAAAATATTATTTAAAAACGATTATATAACAATACTGTGTGATGAACTCATTCTATCATCATTATCGATAATGATGTTTTATCTTATTCAGTGATTCCTTCAATTCATTTGTGTTGTATATATTGTAAAACAACAAAGAAAAAATAGATGACGCCTCAGTCAACATCAATATTGTAAGAAAGAAAGTTATAAAAGAAAGAGAAAGGAAAGATAACATCTATCAATCGTTACGTGATGAATAAACAACTTTCAATAATTTGAGATATATTATTTTAATATTACGGTGAGACAATGAATGACAAACAAGATTATCATACTTAAAAACAATTCAATCTTACATTTTTTCTTCGAGAATAATATTTCGCCAATCTGGACTATGGCAATATGAATGATAATATTTTCTTTATGATGTAGGCATGAGCCTTCTCGTGATTCACATCTATATTCAAACGGATGAAAAAGGAAACGAACTCGACGATGTAAACATAGAATATTATGATTTTTGAGAAATAAAAATAAAACTCAAGGATACACATCAAAACAATGATCTTTGTTTTTCTTTGGCAGAGTATGAATGTTGATTTGATGGTTTGTTTGTGTCATCTCTTCATCTGCACCTAAACCATTAAAAATTTCATGGTTTTGTATTCAAATCTCAAAGAGAAAAAAAAACTTCGAAGAGAATAATTTCGAAAAATGTATATGTCGAAAAAAAACCGCTTATCAAAGGAAAAAGTTTCGAGAAAGTCAAATATCACTGAACAAAAAACGTCGCAGACAGCTAGCAACTTTTGATAGATATAATTATAATTATAAAATATCATACAAATAAAGTCGAAATTTTATTTTAAAAGTTTATAATCATAAATTAATGAAATGAAGAAATCATATGAAGAATAACAAGGAAATATGATTTCGTCGTGATGAAAGGAGAAAGTTTTTCAAGAAAATTACTGAGATTTATTTTATTCTAATGAAAATTCGATTGAAGTAAATGAATTCGTTGTTGAAGAACAACACCTTTTGCATACAGAATGAAAAAGCGAATATGAAAAAACTAATGTAAACAATATCAATTATAAAAAAAGAGAGAAAGAAAAATATCATTTGATCAATTATCCAATCATTCATCGTCAATTTGGATTATACAACAATGTATCATTGTTTTTATTGACGACATTGGTCAAACAGAAGACATGAGTATCTCTATATTTATAAGCTACACAGAATAGATATAAGTGAAGATAAACATGAAATATTCATTTATTGAATTGAATGATTTACCTAATGAAATTCTTATGATTATTCTGAAAAAATTGCACAATGTCGAAATACTCTACTCTCTAATTGATGTTAATAAACGACTCAATACAATTGTACATGATCCAATTTTTACAAGTTATTTAACATTGATGACATCTTCGTCTAATTGTTTATTTGATCGACTTACTGATACAATACTTGATCGATTTTGTCTTCAAATTTTACCTAAAATTCATCATAAAATCGAATTTTTCAATCTTGAATCATCATCTATGGAACGTATTCTTCTTTTAACAAATTATCCTAATTTATATGGACTTGGTTTATATAATCTTGCATCAGAAACGGCTAGAGATCTCTTTACTGGTAAGATTTTTGCTTCGATTAATTATTGAAAAATATAAAATATTAGAATAATTTATCTGAATATGTGCTATATATAATGTAAAGTTAATTATTAAGATTTTTTTTTTTATCAATCAATCTCGTCATTATTTATCGATGAACATTAATTCGAAGAAAATACAACTATTTACTAAAAATGAAAAATAATATTTAAAAATGAAAGATTTTTTATTGTCTTTAAGTTAAATTCTTAAAACATCAATTCTCAATGTAAAAAATATAGTATAAAATAAATGATTAAGATAAATATTGAGAAATTCGAAAGAAGACGATATGTAGATAAAAAAGTTATTAATAAGAGAAAAAAATAGTTATGCTTTAATTTAATCTAATATATAGAGAAGAAAGTTTATTTGTCTGTTCTTTATGTATTTGGACACGATACGAGCAACTGCAACCAAACTTTTCAGGGACCATCCTCTCATCGAGGAGGAGGTCAACGACTACTTTTTGTCGAAAAAACATCGGTTCTCTGCCTGCAACAGGCCTGCCGATGTATCTGATCAATGAGATTGCAGCATTCAGTAGTATTGGAGAACTAGTGTCCTGCACGGGTACGACTTTTTGCACCCGGACTCGATTCGGCAGTCTTTTTTTTATACCCGGGCCCGATCCGGACTCGGCCAGCTTATACCCGACCCGGTGCTAATCAAGATTTGCAAAGCACTTTCACAGTCATAGTACAAATTTGAAACTGTCACTTCGTACGAAAAAGTATACTGTTTAGTTTCTTACGTAAACAGAAATAGGGGTGTTACTTGATCTTTATCTTTATGAAACGGAAGCAAAGAAATTCTTTTATTTTTGAAAAGTAAATATATAAAAAAAAAAAAAGATAAATAAAATCTTTATATTTATAAAATAAAGATAAATGAATTCTTTGTTTTTGAAAAATAAGGATCAAGTAAAGAATAAACATTTTTTATCTTTAGTAGATAAATAGAAAAGTACTTAGTACAACAACAGCATATATGTTAATTAATATTCGTTTCTTAATAACAACATCACTTCGACAGGTGATATTATCAAAGAATCAAGCTGATACATGAAAAAATATGCAAAAAACTCTTCTGTATATTTCATTTTCCTCTATGGTATCATAACCTTTTTGAACTGCTCGGTAAAAATTAGAGACTTAGTTCTCATAGGAAAAGAAGTTTCTTTTTTATTCATTTTATCTTTATCTTGCTTTTATTAATATAAAGAGTTCATTTATCCTTATTTTTCAAACATAAAGAATTTCTTCATGTTTATTTCTTATAAAGATGATGATTTGATTTATATTTATTCCTTATTATAAAGAAAAATAAATATAAAGTAATACCCCTAAACAGAGGCAAAAGAAAAAGATCATCTCAAATTCCATCCAAAGAGAAGTCAATCAAGTGATTCAGGGTTCGCTTGATGCCTTTCTGCTTCTAACATCCGATCAATTCCACTAAGTGTACGTTTTTTACTTGCTGATGAGTCTTAAATAGAAATTAATACTGGTGCAAATGATATACTCATTAAATACATGGGTGGGTGTGGGCGTGTGTAACGATAAAATGAGGAAGAGATGATGTCATGACAGACTGGAGGAGTAGCTAGCAGCTACTCGGCAATGCTGTTTATTAGCTAGTCTACATCTCCAGAATGTGCCTATTGCACATTCAACACACGCTTACATATGATAGAGAAACAAAGAGAGAAACGACACAGAGAGAACACTAGAGAGAGGAAGAGCAGTGAGCCGTGACGTATATATCGGCACATTGTGGCTGTGGGTGAGGGTGCGAGTGTGGGTGTGGGTGTTGGCGTGGGTGTGGGTGTGGGTGTGGATGTGGATATCAACATGAGAGAAGACAGCCGCACCTAACCCACACTCACACCCACACCCACACCCCACACCCACCCGCATCGAGTGCTCTATTTTCATCGGAATATTTGTCCAAGAAGAAATTTGAGTACTGGGATTTATCTCATGTGTAGTCACCTATATGCAAAGTTTCATTCTGTTTGAAGAGCGTCATTACGATTTTTTACCTATCCTTCATACAAAGGTGTTGATGTTTTATGCTGTTAATTTTTCTCCCTCTACAGTAAACAGAAACACATGGGAGAACGCAAGAAAAAAAGACGACGTTGGAAGCAATGCACTGCAATTCTTTGCTCCAGAACAAAGGAGCACAAACATTGAGCAAAAATGCATAGACACACTTTCTTACTAATGTAATCAACTCATATTTGCCAAGGCTTCTTCAAACATTTTCATTTCAAGCTGTGATTCTTCCAGCAATTTTATGCTTCCAAGCTTCGTGGTTTCTTTTCATTTGTTAGAGAGTGATGATGTGGGTATCAACGAACAGAGAGGAGCACCAATTCATCCAGGATGTGGGTGTGGGTCTGAACACGAAGGAAGACCTCCACACCCACACCCACACCCACACCCACACCCACACCCACACCCACACCCACACCCACACCCACACCCACACCCACACCCACCCCACACCCACACCTCCCCCCACACCCACACCCACACCTCCCCCCACACCCACCCACACCCACACCCACACCCACACCCGTTTCCAACTATAATCCACGTCGTTTCTTTCGGTTGTGAATGAGCCATTGTCTGTTATGATGAGGAAAAAATTTGCGAAAGAACAGAATATTTGTTGCCTATGACACTCAGCACATAAGAGCACATATTATAAAATAGTCTAACTGGGAATCTTAATATTTATCGATCTGAGTCAGTGCAAACATTTGTCATGTAAATATTTGTTTCTTGTCGGTTCCTGTTGTTGTTAACTATGATTCACTACAGAACATATGAGTGGTTTCTTTCCTTTCCTGAGGGTGTGGGTGTGTTCGAAAAGATTTTATCAATCATGTAGCTAGCGAGACCGGTTTCGATAAGTGCTTAATGCTTACACTTATCAATTGCTTAATTTGATTGAAAGATGTTAAATGTAGTATAACTTCTCCTATTATGAATTATTAAAGTTAAAAGTTGTATAGGAATAACTTCCAAGCAAATAATAACCATAAAAATCTATCATTTAAAAGTTTTAAAGAAAAACTTCCAATGATTAGTAGAAAGAGATTCTCCACTTTATGGTAAATTATGGAGGATGGTATATGAAATAGTTGTCCCTGATATACTACTCTAGTTAAAAGTTTCAAGGCACATTTCCAAGCTAATAGTAGGGATATAAAGTTATGCTTTAGTCGTGTTATAGTGATACTTATAGTTTTAGTGAAGATGTGTAATAATCACAATTTTCCGGGATTGTCTTTAGGCCCCACCCCCCCCCTCAAAAAAGTCTATTTTCGCCAGAAAAATCGAAACTGAGATAAATGCATGGGAAGATAGCCCAAGTTCTGCTCTTTGAGAAACGCTATGATTTTTTATTGGGCCCCCCTTTTTTGACAAAGTTTTTAATTCTTTTCTGTCGTCGACTGCTAAAAAGCGCAATTTTGGGTGTGGGTGTGGGTGTGGCTGCGGGCGTGGGTGTGGGGTGTGGGTGTGTAGGGGCGGGTGTGCCTGTGGATGTGGTTATGAATAATAGTAACGATAAACACCCACGCTCACACCCACACCCACACCCCACCCACACCCACTAGAGAGCAGCGGGCCCAGGTTTTTATGGAGCCGGACCCGGGAAAAGCAAAATTTTTGGACCCGGGCCCGGACCCGGATGACTTTAAGTTTCTAGATCTGGACCCGGTCGGGTCCAGACCCGTTAAGTGTTTCGCCAATGTTTTTTTCAAATTCATTTGTTATTTGTATTTGAAATGGCTTTTTAATTACAAAATTAAAAATAGCCAAGAAATTTTGAAACAGAATACAGAAAATATTATACGTTGACCTGAACTCTTCAATATCTAGATTCGTAGCTGAATACAAACCGGGTCTGAAAGTAAATCACATATGGACCTGGACCCGGACCCGGGCCCGGATGATATCGAATTTCTAGACCCGGACCCGGGTGACATTCATTTTCTGGACCCGGATCTGGACGGACCCGCTGCTCTCTAACACCCACACCCCACCCACACCCACACCCACACCCACACCCACACCCACACCCACACCGCACCCCACCCCACCCACACCCACACCACACCCACACCCACACCCCGCCCCTTATGAATGACCCATGGCAGCATATCCAGGCTTGCGTAACACCTTAAACACCATTGTTCAATTTAACAGGCATTTGTTTATAAAGCGTGTTTACCGCTTTCTACGATGCACCTTCTGAAAGAATAATAAAGATTTTCTCACTTTCTCAACGTTATACACATGCAAAATAAAAACATTTTCCATATATTTTCATTATGCTACATACAGTAGGACTTAATAGATCATGTATGTTTTTCATTTTCAGTATGAAAAAAACCATCAGAACGAGTCAATTCGGATTTGTTCATACAGTTTTTTGTAGAGTTTTTCACGGCGAATCTTCTGAAAAAAAATCAAAATTTGATCATTTGTCTGTGCAGAGATATTTGCAAAATAAAGCATGTTTTTTTTGCGACATCCGCTATTTCAAAAACTTGTTTCACGTTTTTCTCAGAAGGTAGGTTCGACGACGTAGCGCCACCGCCATTCGACCACTGTTCAATATAAAGTCAAAAATTTTTTTTTGTTTGAAAGCTCGCGTTTAGGGCTAGCCCCTCTCGTGGCCCGATTTTTAAAATAAGCTTTTTATTATTATTTAAGAACACATCTTCATAGAAAAAGCGCCATTTTTTCGGAGTTTTTTGAGTCATTGAACTTGTCACTCCTTTTCTTCGCCTAAAAAGTAAGAATTTAGAAAAAAGGGCCACGAGAGGGGCTAGCCCTAGAGACAAGCTTTCAAACAAAAATATATATATATATATATATAATGAGAGTCCACAGAGAAATTTTGGCGCTGAAATCAGCTATTTTTGACCCTTGTTTGGTTCATATCTCTGTCAAACGTCATGGTATCGAGCTGAAAATTTTAGCACAGCC